CGACTTCGTTACGTCATTTCGTTCAACGTTATTTTCAACCGTCCAAATGTCAAAGAAGCAACAATAATTGTGATAAAATGTAACAAGAGACGTCGAACGAGATTGTTGATTCTATACAATTTTGGATACGTAAATATAGAAACTGGTAACACCTTGGCACAATGAAACATTTATCAGAATATGAACAGATTAAATCATTCGTAGAATTTAAATGAAATTACGAATTGTCCCCGAGATGTGAGATGATTTAAATAAAATTTCAAATTGCAACGTTCTACGGGGAGTATTTTCAATCGAATAAACGGATGATTCAGCGATTGTGATATCTCTAAGGTAAAAATCTCGTGTTGACATGTTACGCAGGAACATAAATTTAGACGTCTGCGGACTCTAAATGAGATGGAAGTTTGAAGAAGGCATTAATCACGGATTCGTTTAAAATTGTAGTTAAACGCGTAAATATAGAAGCCACGCCTTGGTATAATGCGTAAAGGCTGTATCGAAGCATCGAATCGTTGGATATAAACAGTGTGTGTGCGTGAAACTAGTTGGCACAATGCATAGATGAGTATAAAGTTTTGTGAGGTTTTCTAATACATATAATATAATAAATTGAAAAGAAAATCTTGTTCAAAACCTCGAATATAAATAACAAAATAATAATCTTAGAATTGGCCATAATTACGAACTCATAAATATTCATTTATTATACAATGTTCAAAAAAATCATTGCAATTTCATTAATATTAAATTACCCTATCAAATTCCCTATAAAATTATCGCTAATAATTATACCATTAATACGATTTTAAAACACTATGAAAATACATATCTAAAATTCTTTTTTTAAAAAATAGAGACGAAGAAATATTGTCTACGTAAGTTATAATATAATTAAATTCAATTAACATATCGATATTGTGAGAGCAGAAGTGGAAGGCATACGAGAAATTCAAATTAAGAATGGACATAGAGCTTGGTGAGAATCGAAGGGAACTCAAGAAGTTAGTCTGGCTGTAATTTTATTGCTCCAATACAGGAAATACTGCGGCCACTGACTCAACATCGTTGACGCACACTGATGGCGGTCGTGGAATATCGAGACGCATTGCCAGCTGTTTATTTAATTCAATAGATGTAGCTCGCGTGCAACGCGCTAGACGATGAAAATTAACTGGTCGAGGAATTTTTTAAAATTATTTTTAAAAGAACGTATATAGGGAATGGAAATTTAATCGATATTGATTCGGATGTTTAAAAGAAAAAGGAAGGAAAGATTGATAAAAATTAATAAAAATTAGATTGAGATTAAATTTAAATCTTGAATCAGTTTAAACTAAAGATTGATTAAATATAATTGAAATATATGTAAAATATAAGTTTTATTAATATGATAAAATGTTCAAGACAATTTCACAAATGTATTTCGTTCTTTACATTCTTTATATTTCTTTATATAAAAACAACATAATAAAATAATAAAATATGATAATAAAATAACAAATAAACGAAACATTTTTTTAAAAAATACAAAAATGCAATTGCCAAATCGTAATGTTTCTCTCAACTTTCCTCAAATCGCGAGATAAAGATAATGATTCATCTAAAAATAATGGCGATAATTTTTATATAGGTGTAGGTTCAAAATAGAAATCCAAATTATAGAAGGTTGATTTCTCGAGAATTATCGATTTACCTTTCTCCGCCCTATAATTTGCTCAAATCACCCGGCTAATCCTCTCCGCAACAGTTTTAAATTCCAAGATCCTCGATTCATCCAGCGTGAATCGAAACGAGGCGATCAGAGTCAAATGGCGCGGAAAAACGGCAAAGTGGAGCATGACGGGCAAAGCGTCACGTGTAAAGATAAACCAACACCTGGTCTAATAAGGGCTAAGATCTTTCGAAGTCAACGGGCCATGGGTCGTCTTCCTCTTTCTCTCTTGACAACCTGTTCCTGGCATATACTCGTGTCTGTCACGTAAGCTGCATTCCGCTCGCGATTTTCCCCTGAATCACGTTTTCATAATACCGTCTGACGTAATGGCTAACATGCTAGAAGACGGACGAAATAACCAACAGCAACCATCCACGCCGAAACAGCTTCGGACGGCTGTATCGACCCTGTGCCAAGAGGAGGAAGTCACTTCGACGAATCAGTTGTTTATTAATCATTATCGCTTATTAAATCCTTTCCCTTTATATTTGTCTTTAACTCCCTCCTTGTTATCTATTCGCTAATTACTTGTTCGATTTTTAATCAGTAGCATTATCTTTGGAAAATAGGACTTATTTAGTTGGAAGGAAATTATATTGTCAGCGAAGAAAAGAAGAAATATGAGGGAATTTATGTTGGCTCGAAGATCAATGATTTAGAGACCTGTTGAAAGCTTGTTAAAAGGCTTATGATTGCAATATTTTTTTGTATTAAGATTGAAAGAAGGAATTGTTAATTAACTTTTTTTTTTAAGAGATAGAAATTTTGGCACTGTCATAAATTATTTTTCTCTGAATTATAGAAATTTTTATTGTGTTTTTCATCATTCAGCTTGTCAACAATCTAATTCGCCAATTTTAATTTCTTTTTTATTCAACTTATACGATTAAATTATTTTTCTTTATATTGTATTATTAAAGAATTATTTTTTAACAATTGACAAAATATCTTTCTTTGAATCATAAAAATTCTTTGTGTCTTCAATTTAATCTAATCCACAACTGGATCCCGAACTTTAATAATAAATCTACATTATATTCGTATCATTCTGAAAAAGGTTTCTCTCCACTTCTTTCCTCAACCATCCTCGACATCGTTCCGTGACGTAACGAAGTTACTCTGAAAATACACCAGTGTGAAGCGAGAGAAACGTTTCGTTTGCGCCCTCTTCTCGCCTCTTCTCTCCTCTGCCCTCCTGTAAAAATAGTCCTTCGAGAGAAATCTTTCTCACGCTCCACCCCTTTCCCACCTCGATCATGGACACGCGAAAATTATTTATTTCGAGCATTTTTATAGAAACACTCCATTGGCCGGGGTTCTGGTCGATCGGCAGGGAAGAGACACCTCTTCAAGCTTGCCGTAGCAAGGCCGGCGCTCCGGTAGCCGCCGCTTTTAGCACACGTTCGAGTTATTTTAGCGCTTGCCGCCAAGCCTCTCGCTATCGTCTCGCCTGAAAACATATCGTCCTCGACCACCCTGCACCTAAGATCCACCTCGGTTCACCTGTGCCTCGATCGAGCGAATCGAGAATTCAACGTCTAGATTTTAAGCATCGTATAAAGGGGTTCGGAGAAAGATCAAGATGGCGATGAGTTTTTCGAGCAGACTCGTCGCGAAGACTCGGATCACGAGCTCGAGAAGTGCACCTATTTCCAGCCATTTCGTGTCCTCGCGACTTCTTTGCGCGAATCCCAATTTTTTCTGCAAAAGATCTTTCCAACTCGGAGGGTCTATTTGGTTCTATTCTGTTTTTAATCCTTGAACTAGAAGTCTATTAGTGTTGAAAATTATCAATATATAAAAGTATGAGGTCTGAAATTAAAAATTCGTGTTTTAAGTATAAATTTTTCTTTTGATTTTCAAAGTTTTCACGCTCTTCGTGTCGATAACAAAAGAATCTTTGAAACTTACAAAATTCGAAAAATCTTTAGATTGGTTTAAAAGAGATTTTGAACAGAATTAATTTCGCTTGTGATTTTTAATAGATTTTTAATAGAATTGTTTCTTTGGATTTTAATGTTGGAGAATTATTGAAGTCTTTTAATAAAAGTTATTAAAAACTGTTTGGTGAAATGTTAATGATATTGATTAATTTCTCTCGATAAATGTATAAGAAGAACAATGAAAGATAATTCTAAGGAGAGAAAGAAGAAAGGAAAATGGAAGAAAGAAAAGAGAAAAAAATGTTCATGTGTTTATTAATGAATTCATAATTAAAAAAGTTAAATTAATTGATGTATATATTATTAATTTATATTAAAAAATATTTAAAGTATTTTTATATTAAAAGATATTTATTTTATAGCAAATGTAATTACAAAGAGGTTCAGTTTGCCAATTTAATTGAAATTTTAAAACTATGTATCTGCTATTGAAGAGTAGATTTGGTCATTTTATTTATGAAAATATATTGTACAATCAGATTTTCAATATTTTTTAAAGTATTTATAACTAAAGTCTCATCAAAATATTTATATTAAAATAATCTAACATTAGATATTTCAAAAATTTATCAAAGTAATTTAATAATTCAATAATCTAATATTTCAAAATTTTAAATTAAAATATAATTTAATAGTGTTCAAATCTAAATTCCACAACTCAAAATTCCAATAATTCAAAATTCTAAGTCAAAAAATTTAACAAGATTCAACAACAAATCTCAATATTATTTTTTAAAAATTCTAGATTAAACTTAATGATATTTAAAATTTCAATATTACAAAATTCTATTAAAATAATTCAATAACAATAAAATTCCAATTTTATATAAAAAAAAATCCAAGAAATTTCAATGTGTCAAAATTCAAAAATAAAATAATTTAACAATGTTCAATGTTAACTAAACTTCAAACTAAACTCAAACTTTATATACCGTCATCCATACTTTATATACCTTCGGCAATGAAAATATTTTCAAAGCTTACAGACGATTCCAAAAGAATCAAAAGATGTAACAAGAAGACACGATCTTCTCAAGTGTATATTTCCAGATGTTCTCTCCTCGTTTCGAGCTTCCTAAAAGACGAGCTCTTTCCGCTCGGTCAATTAAGGAGAGAATTTCTTGTCCAACCATATTCCCTCGTTTCTATCGTGTCATGGACATCGAACAATTACCCTTTAATCGGCTTGAAAATCGCTCAACAGAGTGGTATTTTACGCGTAAACGTTTCATCCCTGTGTAAACCGTGATTTACAGTTTGTTCACATACAGTGTTGTTCATCGTGACTTAATAAGAATCCATTGAAAAGAGAAGGAAAGGTGAAACCAGAAATACATAACATTGGCTTAGAAATACTGTTCGTCGAGGAAAATGGCTTCGCTATAGCTTTCGTTCCACTAATAAACTGTTCCGTTTTCTCAGCCGCGTGCAACTGGTTTAACTATCGTCTCGAATTTCACTCTCATTAGCTACAAACGTAAAATTGAAATGGTAAATTGAAAACTGTGGAAATATTATATCCTTGAACGCATGGATTTACGATTGCGGAACGTGCGAGGTTTAAATTTTCGCGCGTTTACACGTTTGAGGTTAGGTTATCGATTCCAAGGCCGTGATCGTTACAAAGGAGGGAAACAAAATGCATCTTTCGAAGTTCAGAATCTAAAATTGTTTCGAGGGGTACTTCGATAATTTTCCACATCTGCGAGATTTGGCAACGAGAAACGTTCGAAAGGATATTTTCACCGCGAATTGCATTCTTTTGTCCGTGAAAAAGAAAGAAAATTAAATATTAATTTGATATCAGAATATCAGACTGGAAAACAAATATTTTTACATCGAAAATAATAAAAAAATTTACACCGAACAATTGAACATTAATGTTTAAAAATTTTTTAAATTTCTCACGTAAATAATAATTTTTTAAAAAAAAATATTAAGAAACAATATTAAATATGACAAAGGTATTGTTACTTGTTCAAAGAAAATTTGAAAGATAAAAGATGAAATATCTGAAAACTTCTTGGCCACCTGTCCATGGCTTAATTTAATTATCGGTTTGCCAGGAAAAAGTGAGAATGAGAAAATTGCTAATTCAGTGATAAGCACTGCTGATTCTCTGCCAACTATTCGCGTTGCTCGGATATATATACACTCGATACTATAGGTTGTTTATTCAGGAGTAGATGGCCGGTAGTATGTTTGCTTGAGCACGTCGTCGCTACTTTAATCATAAGCTAACCGCATGTTACATTTTCTTTTTCTTTTTTTTTTGTTACAACATTATAGCCATTCTCGAAGAGAGTACTTTTTGTCATTACCTTGAAATTTCTTTAAAAATAATCATTCTGTTCAGAATTATTCTTTTTAAATCATTACGTTGATTTATGAAAGCTTTAGAATATTAAACATGTAGAATTGAAAAAGAAATTTGGTTTGTTAAAAGTAAATTTAGATACTTTTTTTTTTTAAGAATGCTGAAATTATTTGAATTATTTTGTAAAAATGGTGAATTATTTTGTAAAAAAGACGACAAAATACCGAAAATATTTCATTAGGATTTTTTATTGAAATATATTGAAAAAACGCAATTTCACGTTTGTTCGATTCATTTATGATTCTTCAAGTTTATTTAACGTTTGCAAGTGCAAGACGGCAATAAAATTGTAGGTTTACAGGCACGTAAAATATTCAATGGAAATATTCACAGGAAGCCACTTATCAAGAAAACAAATAGACAATAATAGATTAACACAGTAATAGAACATAGAAATGCAACAAACTTTACCATAAAATTTGCAAAGATATCTATAAAAAGAACAACAATTATTAGTAATATCGCCATATAGGTCACTGCACTTTGCCACAGAATTTATAACCTTGGCCATCAAGCTTTCTAATTCACATTTCATAATTCTTTAATTTTGCTTAACCAAAAATTTTGAAAGATCAATTAAAAAAAGATTTTTAGAAAGAACTTTTTTAAAACTATAAAACCTCTTTTGATATGTTAATTATCGTATATATTTCAAAAGCACATAAATCTTTCAATATCAATTTTTACAATGTATTTAATTCGATCTTTAAAAAAAAAAATCAGAGATCACCTTCTAGCCAGAATTTTAATTCAGAGAGGATAAATAAAGCGTGTTTTACACGTGCATTAATAGCTCATCGAAGAAAAATCATCGATGAACGTGCTGGAACAATAATGGTGTACGAAGATCGTGCACGAGTTGTACCTGAGCTGCAGCACCCACGCAATGTCCCAAATCGTTGGTTCACGCTGCCGAATCTCACTAATACCAACACAATCACGACCCACGCGTCTAGAACGAGACAAGAAATACGGCCGATTGAGTGGCTATCTTTAGAGGCGGACTGGGACCCTGAAGATATGCTTCTGATTCGAATGCTTCTTCCGGTATAAATAAAACCATCCACTGAGCGATGCTCCCTCTCTCGTGCATAAAAAAAATCATTATCAAAAGGGACTTAAAATTTTCTGTACACTTTTACTCCTTGTCATCTCTTCTTTTTCAATTTTTCCATTTTTAAATCATTGATGATACATGAATTCAAAATTTTATCTATCCTTTGCTACCCTTAACAACGAATATTTTTAAATTTTATTTATCTCCTATCTAAGAAGATCTTCATATTTTTTACTTTTCACTTTTTCTCAAGTTTTTTTATATTTCTTTTTAAATAACGAATTTGCGTTCAATTCAAAATTGTATGTAATTGTATGTAACATTATATATATATTTTTTTTTATCTGTTCTCTTTTAATTTTCTTATATTTTTTCTTAAAAAAATAAATTTGAATCGAAATTCAAATATTAATAAAATTTGTAACAATCATATAATAATATTCTTTTGTTGCTCTAGGAAGATCTTTGAATCTTTTATGTTTTACTACTTCCAACTCTTTTTCTCCAATTTTCTGCTTCTTTTTCCAGAAAATGAATTTATTATCATTTATTAGTGATTTTCTTTCCTTTGTCCTTAATCCAATTCAAAGTCTCCCGTTTCAAATTACTTTTCTTTTGATATTTTCTTTTTAAACGAATATTCGTTCCATCCTAATTTTCTTCGCCCGTTTATCTTTTCCCTTTAACATCCCCGAAGCGAAAAATTTTCGCGAGAAGACGAAACATAGGCAAGTAAAACGTTGTAATAGACGGCGAGGCCGTTCGTTCTCGTATTTTTAGTGGCTCGTAAACTAGGCACTGGCCATCGTTCGATCTCGTCGTCTCTCTTTCTCAACCAGCAGGGGCTGCCTTTTCGAATAAACGCGCGCGCACATTTAAGTATCTCAACGATTTCGCCACCTTGAAACGTCGAAGAAGATCGATACGCGGATCGAACAAAATTATATCAAATATCTTTTCACTAGAAATCAAGACCGAGTAGATGACATAAGGTAAATAATATAAACGTAGGAATAAAATTTCTTTTTATTATTCGTGATTCCTAATAACGAATAAAAATTGCATTGCTCGCAATTTAACCTAAATTTAATCAGTAAATCTTTTCAAGTACTGCAAGTTGATTAAAAATTATAATTTTTGTCGATTTCTTATCAATTTTTGTTTAGAATAATTTATTTTTTGTTTCCAGAAATAATATTTCTTATTATGTAAAAATAATTTTAGATGAAAATAGATTAAGATGGAAAATTATATTAGAAAAATTTCTAATTTGCTTGTTTAAACATTGTAAACATTGTGATATTACAATACTTATTTTAATATAACAATAAATTTATGATATAAGGAGAAAATAATATTGGTAATATAATAAAAACAAGAATTAAAAAGTAAAAAGTAAGAAATACATTTAAAAATATGTTTAAAGAAAACAAAAAGTTGGGATATTATTTTTTAAGTTATTTCAAAAATTTATATTTTGCATGTAAAGTCTAGAAAATTAAGAAAATAAAGACAAATATTTTTCATTATTAGAAAAAAATAGTATAATTCTGATTTTTTTTTTTCATCTAAATGCTCTCATTTATATCAACGAGTGATTTCTTGCTAGAGTTATTTAAATCGATGTGCTTCTGTCAGGCGCCTTGTTCTAGACGCCGATTAGACAAGACAAATGATGATAGACAGCCACTGTGATTCGAACGAGTGCCTCGTTTCAGAAGAGAGAGATTTCAAACTGGAGATTAGAAAGTGATGTATTGTTTAAAAGGGATTAGAGTTCTGATGCATTTGTCTATTTTTATTTAAAAATCGTGGTCGTATTCTTTTTTTTTAATTTTATAAATGTTGAGAGAAAAATTAGAACATGATACCTAGAAATTTAGGGGTTGAAAGTTAAGAATAGAATTTGAACATTTACATTTTAATTTAATTTATTAAATATTGAAAAATAGCTAAAAATAAAAAGGATGGAAAATATTAAAAAGTTGAAAAACTAAAAAATAATGGAAAATTGAAACTGGAAAGATATTGAACTTTATAAGTTATAAGATATTGAATAATGAAAGTTCAATAAATAAAAACTGAATAATTTAGCAACAAAGATTAAATAATTTTTGAAATATTGTTAGAGAAAATACAAGATGATTCGCAAAAATAATCATGCTTTCGAAAAATAAAAATAGAAATAATTAATATATTAGAAAATTAAAAAATTTTTTGCTTTCTCCAATTTCCTTTGATGATCCAAGCAAAGGAAAGGAAAAAAAGCTATATCAGTGAAATATCCAGGATAGTATAAACGAATCATATACGACGAGTGAACCATGATGATCGAAAGGGTAAGCGTGAAATCGGGTTCAGGGCGTATCGCTTATTTTTCGTTCCCAATTCGACGATCCGTTTAAGAGTGGAACGAGTGGGTGGACACGATAGGAAATAAAAATAGAATTGTTTTGTGTCGCTCTATTTATATTTGTTTGCTCTCTGCTCCACCGGGAAGATGAGTTTGAGAATCGATTTTGTATCCGGCAAAGAATTATTGTGAAGATTATTATCTACTCATTAATAGAATTTTATTAATAATCTCTGGAGTAGATATATTCATTGAATGAATATCTTCTTTCAATTAGTAACTCAAATCATATTATCAATCATTTAAAATTGAATGTAAAAAATTCTAAATAATTAGATTTAGAATAAATATATATATATTTTTTCATATTCGATCATTTAATCGATAAAAATTTAACCTTTAAGTTTGATTGAAAATATATTAATTGTCAATTTTAAGTAATTAAAAAATAAAAAAAATAAAAAATTCATTTTGCTGACGTAAAATAAATGTTTCTAAATATCCTTTATCTCGACGAACAACAAATTTGTTGTTCTCTCGAAACAAAAAATTTTCCAGCCAGGAAATCATTATCCTAATTATTACCGTATAATCTCTCCCAATTTTCCACCATCACGAACACAAAGCCAGTGGAATCGATCCAATTTAACTGGCACACGTTTTTCAACGTTCTCGC